GAACATGAGAGTGGGGGATATGAAAATGGGAAAGAAATGAGAAAGAAAGGTGTTAAGAAAATGAGTGAGAGTGAGGGAGCCAAAACAAAGAAGGTGAGAATGAGGGAGAGTGACCTAGGTGAGTATACTCACCTTCTTCAACCATGAGGAAGTGTAAACAGGAAGAAAGTTACCCTCAGAAAACACAGACAGTACCACAGAAAACACTCCCAGAGAACCACAGAAAACACAGAGACACTGAGAAACAACAGAAAAGGCGCAGAAAAACAGAGAGCCACAGAATAAACGAAACAGAAAAAGAACAGAGAAACAGAGAGCCACAGAATAAACGAAACAGAAAAAGAACAGAGAAACAGAGAGCCACAGAATAAACGAAACAGAAAAGGCACAGAAAAACAGAGAGCCACAGAATAAACGAAACAGAAAAAGAACAGAGAAACAGAGAGCCACAGAATAAACGAAACAGAAAAAGAACAGAGAAACAGAGAGCCACAGAATAAACGAAACAGAAAAAGGACAGAGAAACAGAGAGCCACAGAATAAACGAAACAGAAAAGGCACAGAGAAACAGAGAGCCACAGAAAAAAAAGATAAACCTAGAATCTCAGAAAACAAAGAATCACAAAAGCAGAACACCCAGCAGTGTAGGACAACACCCAGCAGTGTAGGACAACACCCAGCAGTGTAGGACGCAACACCAAGCAGTGTAGGACAACACTAGACAGTGTAGGACACAACACCTCACCTCTCAGTCCAGGAGCCAATCAGGACGTAGTCGTAGGCTGTCTCTGTCACTTGCTGGTACTGGTAGATGAAGTAACTACCCGGCGCGTCTCCGTCGGCGTTGAACTTGACCTCTCGTCCCTGCTGACCTGTGGGCAAGCGGGAGAGGCATGTAAGAGGCGTGAGAGAGGCATGTAAGAGGCGTGGGAGAGGCATGTAAGAGGCGTGGGAGAGGCATGTAAGAGGCGTGGGAGAGGCGTGGGAGAGGCGTGGGAGAGGCATGTAAGAGGCGTGGGAGAGGCGTGGGAGAGGCGTGGGAGAGGCATGTAAGAGGCGTGTGAGAGGCATGTAAGAGGCGTGTGAGAGGCGTGGGAGAGGCGTGTGAGAGGCATGTAAGAGGCGTGAGAGAGGCATGTAAGAGGCGTGAGAGAGGCATGTAAGAGGCGTGTGAGAGGCATGTAAGAGGCGTGTGAGAGGCATGTAAGAGGCGTGGGAGAGGCATGTAAGAGGCGTGGGAGAGGCATGTAAGAGGCGTGTGAGAGGCGTGGGAGAGATTGGGAGATACAGAGAGAGCAAGAAACAATAGACTGCTACAGTGCCAGATAAGATTTCCAAAATTAGATTAAATCCTAATTGTTCTTTTACAGTCAAATTATTTATAGTTTTTCTGATTGCTTATTTAGGCCTAGGATACTTATTTAGGCCTATGATAGGTTGGGTTTGTTAGGAGAGTTTCTGGTGCACATTCAGGGTGCCATTTGAAGGTCTGCGACAGTGCAATAATGTGATCTGATATGTGAGAGGGGCAACAGTCCATGTTTTGTACGTAGGACCAAATAGCTGCAGGAGGATGTGTGTGGAATGAGCCTACAACCACAGGGTGCCACAACCACAGGGGTGCCACAACCATAGGGGTGCCACACCACAGGGGTGCCACGACCACAGGGGTGCTACAACCACAGGGGTCCTACAACCACAGGGGTGCTACAACCACAGGGGTCCTACAACCACAGGGGTGCTACAACCACAGGGGTCCTACAACCACAGGGGTGCTACAACCACAGGGGTCCTACAACCACAGGGGTCCTACAACCACAGGGGTGCCACAACCACAGGGGTCCTACAACCACAGGGGTGCTACAACCACAGGGGTGCCACAACCACAGGGGTGCCACAACCACAGGATTGTTACAACCACAGAGGTGCCACAACCCCAGGGGTGCCACAACCACAGGGTGCCACAACCCCAGGGGTGCCACAACCACAGGGGTGCCACAACCCCAGGGGTGCCACAACCCCAGGGGTGCCACAACCACAGGGGTGCCACAACCCCAGGGGTGCCACAACCACAGGGGTGCCACAATCACAGGGGTGCTACAACCCCAGGGGTGCCACAACCCCAGGGGTGCCACAACCACAGGGGTGCCACAACCCCAGGGGAGCCACAACCCCAGGGGTGCCACAACCCCAGGGGTGCCACAACCACAGGGGTGCCACAACCCCAGGGGTGCCACAACCCCAGGGGTGCCACAACCACAGGGGTGCCACAACCACAGGGGTGCCACAACCCCAGGGGTGCCACAACCCCAGGGGTGCCACTACCCCAGGGGTGCCACAACCCCAGGGGTGCCACAACCACAGGGGTGCCACAACCCCAGGGGTGCCACAACCACAGGGGTGCCACAACCACAGGGGTGCCACAACCCCAGGGGTGCCACAACCACAGGGGTGCCACAACCCCAGGGGTGCCACAACCCCAGGGGTGCCACAACCACAGGAGTCCTACAACCACAGGGGTGCTACAACCACAGGGGTGCCACAACCACAGGGGTGCCACAACCACAGGGGTCCTACAACCACAGGGGTGCCACAACCACAGGGGTGCCACAACCACAGAGGTGCCACAACCACAGGGGTGCCACAACCACAGGGGTGCCACAACCACAGGGGTGCCACAACCACAGAGGTGCCACAACCACAGGGTGCCACAACCACAGGGGTGCCACAACCACAGGGGTGCCACAACCACAGGGGTGCCACAACCACAGGGGTGCCACAACCACAGGGGTGCCACAACCACAGGGTGCCACAATCACAGGGTGCCACAACCACAGGGGTGCCACAACCACAGGGGTGCCACAACCACAGGGGTGCCACAACCACAGGGGTGCCACAACCACAGGGGTGCCACAACCACAGAGGTGCCACAACCACAGGGGTGCCACAACCACAGGGGTGCCACAACCACAGGGGTGCCACAACCACAGGGGTGCCACAACCACAGGGGTGCCACAACCACAGGGTGCCACAACCACAGGGTGCCACAGACCTCCCAAGTGGGGGAAGGTGCCATCACCATGATAGCACCATGATAGCACCAGCCTCTACTCGTTATCGTCCCACCAAGCCAACATTTCTCCAACAACATCAATGTTATTGCTTCAGTGTGGCGTCCTCTGGAGCACCTGGCTTCACAGGTCCGCATTTCCATGCTTATGTTTGTATATCAGGGGGTTAAAAGTCCCGTCCCCTGTTGTTGGGAGCTTGGCCGTCGGCTATTGCTATCCTGTGTGTGTGTGTGTGTGTGTGTGTGTGTGTGTGTGTGTGTGTGTGTGTGTGTGTGTGTGTGTGTGTGTGTGTGTGTGTGCGTGTGTGTGTGTGTGTGTGTGTGTGTGTGTGTGTGTGTGTGTGTGTGTGTGTGTGTGTGTGTGTGTGTGTGTGTGTGTGTGTGTGTCCTCACCTAGTTGTGTTTGCGGGGGTTGAGCTCTGGCTCAACCAGGTTTGGTGTGTGTATGTGTGTGTGTGTGTACTCACCTATTTGTACTCACCTATTTGTGCTTGCGGGGGTTGAGCTTTGGCTCTTTGGTCCCGCCTCTCAACTGTCAATCAACTGGTGTACAGATTCCTGAGCCTACTGGGCTCTATCATATCTACATTTAAAACTGTGTTTGGAGTCAGCCTCCACCACATCACTGCCTAATGCATTCCATCCGTTAACTACTCTGACACTGAAAAAGTTCCTTCTAACGTCTCTGTGGCTCATGTGTGTGCGTGTGTGTGTGTGTGTGTGTGTGTGTGTGTGTGTGTGTGTGTGTGTGTGTGTGTGTGTGTGTGTGTGTGTGTGTGTGTTTGTACAGTTGTACCCACCTAGTTGTACACAGCTTACTCAGCTAGTCTGCTCTATTTATTTACGACTCTTAGACTGGATAAGTTCTTTCTGACTTTTTCTGTGACTTATCTATGTGTGTTTCCAGTTTCTATAATTATATCCTCTCGTTTCACAGTTACTTAATTTGAACTTTGCTTCGATAGATAATGTTGACAATCTCATTTATGGTAGTTTTTAAGTTGTTATCATGTCCGAGAAACTGGCCTGTAGTCCGGGAAACTGGCCTGTAGTTCAGTGCCTCTTGCCTGTTTTTGTATATTGGAACTACATTAGCTATCTTCCAGCTTTCCGGCAGGTCTCCTGTTTCCAGTGACCTGTTATACACCATAGAGAGTGGCACACTTAGTGCCTCTGCACCTTCTTTTAGTGTCCACGGTGAAATTCTGTCAGGCCCAACAGCCTTCGTCATATTCGGCTCCAATAAATTCCTTTTGACCTCATCACTTGAAACCTCAATTTCCTCCAAAATTTTTAAATTTGCACAGGTACTTCTCTTTGCTCTATTGTGAAGACCTCCTGGAATCTCTTGTGTAAGTGCTAACCTACATGATCGACTCTCATCTCTTAAACTCCACTTAACTCTTTCTTTAACTCTTAAACTCTTTCCTGCCCTCCATCATCAATTACAATAATTCATTGACTGCGTTTGCGGCTATAGAACACGATCACTGATTGTATTTACAACCAATTACCCAATAAGACAAGACTTAGCACTGGGGCTCCACCCTCGCACAAGGGGGAAACAAGATAAAGTGGAAAAGACAGGAAGACAAAAGATAATGATAATAGCTAATTGGAAACATAAACAAAGAATATCAATCAAATATTATATGAAACAATCAAATAATAAGAATAGATTGAAGTATTCAGTGTTCTTGGCGACCTCAAGGAACAATGTGCATCTGGGCTACTCTTACTACTACTACTACTACTCTTACTACTACTACTACTCTTACTACTACTACTACTACTCTTACTACTACTACTACTACTACTACTCTTACTACTACTACTACTCTTACTACTACTACTACTACTCTTACTACTACTACTACTACTACTACTCTTACTACTACTACTACTCTTACTACTACTACTCTTACTACTACTACTCTTACTACTACTACTACTCTTACTACTACTACTACTCTTACTACTACTACTACTAATAATAATAATTATTATAATTCACAGGGAAATCACAATGACAGGAGCAATCTATGTCAAAATCATTTAGAACAATACGACTCGTTAAAAACAAGGGATATATATATATATATATATATTAGTATATTTTGGTAGCAGTCTTTCCTGTAGACATATTTTATTAAATATGACCGAAAAAGTAAGATTAATAATTCTAACACGAATTTTCTCAATCTTTCGTACATTATGCTTCACTGTTGGAGGTAAATCAAAAATCACTTCTCCAAAATTCATTTTTATTTCTAGTCTGACGCGACACGGGCGCGTTTCGTAAAACTTATTACATTTTCAAAGACTTCACAAATACACAACTGATTAGAACTTGCGTTTCCCTGATTTTATATCTACATTTGAGTGAGGTGGGAAGGGTGATGTGGCATTACATTTGAGTAAGGTGGGAAGGATGATGTGGCATTAGAGGATATTAATAGGGTATTAAAAGTATCAACACAAGACAGAACACGAAACAATGGATATTGAATAGAAGTGTTTGTAGAAAGCCTATTGGTCCATATTTCTTGATGCTTCTATATTGGAGCGGAGTCTTGAGGTGGGTAGAATATAGTTGTGCAATAATTGGCTGTTGATTGCTGGTGTTGACTTCTTGATGTGTAGTGCCTCGCAAACGTCGAGCCGCCTGCTATCGCTGTATCTATCGATGATTTCTGTGTTGTTTACTAGGATTTCTCTGGCGATGGTTTGGTTATGGGAAGAGATTATATGTTCCTTAATGGAGCCCTGTTGTTTATGCATCGTTAAACGCCTAGAAAGAGA